TAATTGTCTTAACTAAAATTTATAGTAGATTTAGGAAATAATCGTTTAAAACAATAGAATTGTAAATCTAGATTAATTAGTCAAGAAAATAGAGAATATAAAGATGTGCAAAAATTTCATCAGAAAAAAAATTACATGTGTCTTGCGACAAAGACGCTAGACCGAGCGAGAGCGTCGGCCATCTTGTCCGTGCGAGAAAACGCTAAGTAGAGGTCATCCAAGGTCGCAACGAAAGTCTCTGTCGGTTAGAATTGAAATAAACTCGAGTAAAATAAAATGTTTCGTAAATTCTGAAAGTTAAGTTTTAAGAAACACAAAATAAATACAGTAGGATAATCTCTTGTCGAAATTTAACTTTGACGTCGAAGAATGTCTAGTAAAATTACCGCCGATACTGGGTAAAATGAATTAACTCGGAATAAATTAATTTGGATTAAATTAAAGAATGTAAAATATTTAGGTTTACTCAATTTGCCGGAATTTCATTTAAGTTTACGAAATAAGAATTAAAATTTATTTAATAAATTTCTCGGACATAACAATAAGGATTAATTCAAGATACTAAGACCTCTTGTTTTAAATATTTAGTGTCGTAATATTAAGAACACGGCAGTAAATTAGTATTTAGAAGAAATGATAATTATTTATTAAGGAATTGTTAATTAGGTAAATAATATTATGGAAATTGTTTTATTTTGTAATTCGAGCGCTCTTATTATTATTGTTATTGAGGAATTGGCATTGAGTGTGTTTGTGTGAGAGTAAAGAGACTATCCAACTTCGGGTAGTTCTCTTAGAGTAGCGTGAAGTTTGGGGGACAGCGTGCGCTGTGTGGACAACGTGTGTAGTCACGTCAGAGGTCCAGCTCAGTGGCGTGAGAGTCCGTGAGACCGCGCGAACTAAGTTAGAGTAGCGTTAGAGGTCCAGGGGACGACGCGAAGTAGATAGAGTATCGTGAGAGTCCAGTAGGCATCGGGGACTGCAACCACGTGAGGGTCTAGCTGGACAGCGAGAAATATACCGTATGTGAGTGAGTGTGAGTGTGGTTTGTATCCATGAAATTTTATATATTGTAATACTGGCCATATTTCAGTTGTACGAGGGATTGGATAAATAAATAATTTTTGTTAAATGAATTTCTGTGTCTCAATCCTAGTTTCCTTTCAGCAAATCTCTCGCGACCCTGACCTAACACTCCATGTTCTGGTCCAGTTTCTGGAAACTGAGAACAAAAATCCAGTGGCGCCCTTAAGAGAAAAAGGGGCGACCAAGGGAAACAAAACACCCCGTTTCAATGGTAATTTAAACGGTGATGTCATATCCTTGGTGTACGTATTGGCATCAAATAAAACAAAAAAAACCTATGTTGAAATATTGGAGGAGCTGAAAAGCATAAGACACGGATTAAAGCCAAAAATAGTCATGGCTGATTTCGAAATGGCATTTCATAGTGCTGTAAAATCTGTCTTTCCAGATGTAGTTATTAAGGGCTGCTTATTTCATTTTACTAATGCTATTTGGAAGAATATTCAGTCTAATGGTCTCCAAGCCGAGTATGCAGCCGATGCTAAATATGCCTTGAATTTGAAAAAATTAATGGTTTTGGCTTACGTACCTGAAGATGACGTAGTAGAGGCTTATGACCAATTGATTAAGACAAAATTTTATGTT